CTGTGATTACCCTAAAGGTCATGATAGGTCATTTTATACGATGAGCTAAAACGGTCTAACTACAGTAAAATAACAATGGGGACTGACATCATCACAAATTAATACATTTGGGCTTATTGAATCCACAGGAGCCCCTGCTTTCCAGTCATATCCAATGTTTGCAGCTCCAATACAGTTGATGGACCCCAGTATGCAGTAACATTCAAATACACACTTATACTGCATTCAAAAACTGCATGGTTTATGCCCAAAACTGAATGTAATTGGCTTAAAGTGGGCATGTATATAAAGGTGAGACTTGTGGGTACCAATTCAGATATCTTAAAGTGAGAGGTCAAGTGACTCCTTTTGAAATTGGCCATGCAAGTTTTTCCCTAACCAAAATAGATTTCTATTTTGAACCTTAATTTAAAAGAAAAGACACTGCATTTCATCTATTGCCTTTAGAGTAAATGACGTGTGTGTGTGTGTGTGTGTAGGTACAGCTCTCTGGATGGGATCAATGTAGAGCGCCTGCTGGCCCTCATCAACAAGTCGTTCGATAAGACTCTGAGGCAAGACTACATCGACTCTCTTAGAGGACGACTGCACTCCGTCTACCTCTCTGAAGGGTGCGTGCAGCTACTCCAGGAAAAAAATGACCACACATAAATCCAGATCAGCATTAGTGTTGCATCCGGTCTTCCTTACTAAAGAAAGGCCTGTGGGTGTAAGTATGTCAAATATATGTATCCAAACCCAGCAAGCCCTCTCTCCTGAGGGGATTGTGTGTCTCTGTGTCTCCAGCTACAGCGCGGCAGCCATCATCACCATGGAGCCGGTGAACAGCGGCACTCCCTACCTCGACAAGTTTGTGGTGAGCAGCAGTAAGCAGGGCCAGGGCACCAGCCACATCCTGTGGGAGTGTATCAGACAGGACCTGGGCAAACTGTTCTGGAGGTCCAGAGCCACCAACAGGATCAACCCCTGGTGAGACACGCACACACACATTTTAAGACTTTGATGTTGCCATCCAACGTGTATTCAAAACACATAGAAGGAAGAGTCTAGTGCTAGGAAGGGTTTTCCCGATGAAGCCTGAAAGGGTTTTTTAGCTTGTGGCAGAAGATACGCAATGTCTCGACGTCAGTGGGGAGCTCTACCACTGTGGAGCCAGAACAGAGAGGAGTCTTGACCCAGATAAGCCACCATAGGGTCCTCTGAGTGGTGGGACGGCCAGATATCTGCTAAATGTGTCGCGTTTTGACCGCAGCCAACTCAAGGCGATTAAATGTATATAATGAATACAGTTATTTATATACATACCTGTATACACCCAGGAATGAATTCTGCAGGTCATCTTTTGAATTTGCATCTGGCTGAATGTAAACAGCAGCAACAAGATGGTGATGATAATATGGTTTCATCTTCACATAAACAAACCATGGGTCCATCCACTTGTGTTTGAGCACCAAGCGTCATTGATGGAAACAGTCTGGCTCCGGCTGGTTTTAACATCACTAAAAAGCCGTCAGTACAGCCTCACAAAGTCACTAGTGTGACTGTTTTCACTTTGCTCTGAAGAGAACAGTGATGGCTGAGAGGGTTAATCACTCACCTGCTTTTTGTTGCACGTTGCGATATTTTGTATTGTCAATAAAAACTCCTGGAAAAGGATTTCTTAAGAGTGGGAACCTTGACCTTAAAATAATCTTATGTTAACTGAAAATGAACAATACAATTTGACATGTGATCTTCCTCTCTGTCTGTCTGTCTGTCTGTCTGTCTGTCTAGGTACTTTAAGCACTGTGATGGCAGCTTCGTTAATGGGGTGTGGACCGTCTTCTGGTTCGGCCTGACAGACATCAGAGATTCCTACGAGCTGGTGGAGTACGCCAAGAACCTGCCCGACTCCTTCCACCCTCGTCTCTCACCGCGTCCCAGAAGCCCCCACACCCGCCGCAGGATCCTGAGCCACCTGCTGCTTGCGTAGCTCTCTAACTCCGGAGAATTGTTAGCGCTGTAGCTCTTTTAGCTCGAGGCTATGGAGTTGATTGAGCTTTGGAAAATGTTTTCTCATTTTTGCTCTGACTGGACTTTTTTTCTGTTCTCGATTTTTTTTTTTTAAACTTGAAAACCAAAGTTACAGTAAGAACTTCATAGATGCAATATTTTGCAGAAGCTATAATCATTCTCCATTTGTTAAGCCGGGTTAGCTCTAAGCGTTGCAGAGCTGAAACTAAGGTGGCTTAATCTGTTGGGATGCACGATTTCTTTATTTAAATCAATAATTCCCTTCTTCTCATGGCTGATACTGATAATTTCACATATTTGTGTTTTAAAAATTAGTTCATAACTTGTAGTTTTTACACACCTGAGGGTAAGAAAGTCTTAAGTTATGTTGTGAGCAAAGATGGAGGATTTAATATTCCACAGCTCTGTTCCAACCAAATCTGACTGACATCCCTGTTGCTAATACAACAACAGTTCAGTTCATCAAATGTTCATTTATTTTTTCTAGTAGAGTTAAGGCTAACAATTGTTTTGCATAAGAATTCAAGATGAATAATTAATACCATCATATAATTTATCGGCTGTAATTTAATGATCCCTATAATTCATAATAAGAATTCCCTATTATCGGCACATCATTCATCTGTCCCGATAATTATCGTGCATCCCTATTCATTTGAAAAGGAAACTTTTCACCCTTACATTGCCTTACATTGTAATAGGGACCAGGAAAACCGAGTACTTTACAGTGTGCCTTCACAAACACAGCCAGGTGCTGTGTCGCCTCCAGAACTCTCCTTTGGCCAAAATATCTAAATGCGCAATACAGGTGTTATTAAAAGGACACTACACCGGTTTTCTTTACTTGAGGAGTTATTTAGCCTATAAAAACAGTTGTAAGATGTTTTCTGTGGCTCTGTAGTGAGCTTTTTAAAGTTTGAGAAAATAACCCTGATGATGTCATCAGGGTTGTCAGCTTAAAAACTCCAAACTGTTACAGGGAGCCTGCGTTTTGCCAGTTTCCTGCTGTTTTGGCAGGCAGAGGTTAGAATACACTTTATTTTTTTGGCAGCTGTTCAGAAAATGTAGCTCTCCTTACCCCGGTTCTTATGAGCTTCTTAAATGCCAAAGTTGTGTTTACTACTATCATTAAAGCACTTCAGACCAAGCACTCCACATCTCATGCTCCATCTCTGAATCAGATATTTCATCTTTCCTGACAGTCGCCGTTGGGATTATTAATGGTAAAATTCAAAGCAGATCACGTTAACCAAAGTTATACATGCAAAGGCATTATTGATGCCGAAACTAATAAATAGCTTGATAGAATTTACCTATACACACCAGTAGGCTGTAGGTAAAACATTAGTAAGCTATCTGGTTACTGGAAGAAAGGTACTGGAGTTATTTCCTCACATTACATAAAAAAGTGGTGCTATTTTCAGCATTCTGAATTTTAGCAGTGTATAATATTTCAAACGGACAGCTACAACCATGGATGACCCCGATATATCATCATAATTTCTGCTTTGCTGCTCTGGGTGTGGTAAAACAACGACCTCTGAGGTAGGAAGTTGTTTTTTTTAATCCAAAGTTAACTGTCGGCACAATTCCGTGGAATGATTCTGAGATTCTGGATAGATATGGGCCCAGACACACATGAAAGCATTGATGTTGTCATCTGCACAGATAAGCTAATGGGGTGTTTTATCATTACTTTTTGCAATAGCATTAAAAATAATATTTCTTCAGTTCAGGCTATTTTTCGTGACGTTTGAGGCGTCTACTGCTGACCAGATTTCATTCAGCCGTTACAATGATCTGCTGGTCGGACGGTTGCAGTCGGGGCACGTTTATTTTTAACCTGTTGGTGGAGCCTTCAGATCAGCTGTGTTTACACGGGGCAGGTTGGGCTCATAACTGAAGGAGGATGGGCTCATAACTGAAGGAGGATGGGCTGGGATGAGTGGAAATGTGCTTTCATAGACCAACAAGAGTCATTTGGTATTTCTGTTTCTTTGCAAACCTGTTCTTCAGCAACTGTATCCCAACTGCAGAACAGGCAGTCATGTTACAACTGATGAGCTAAATAAACAATCCCCTAAAAACATATCCACATTACACCCCCTCCTTTGTGGAAGGGGAAGTAGCAAAGAAGGGGGTTATTTGATTTGTATGCTCCAGTGTAATCTTATGACTGTTTGAATAAATATTGGAATAATAAACCTGAAAGCTTTACCTCAACCAGAACTGGTTTTTCAAAAGCAGGGGTGTAACTGAGTATGTGTCTGTTACTTCCTTAAACAATGTGGTCCACTGAGGACAGCTTGAATATGCTTCATCATGTATACAAGGAACCTACACTTGCACTTTAGTTGGTTTTTATGTTCCATCCCCAACCTGCTCAATAATGGCAGTGTGACATGTTTCCTCCTCATTCCTCAAGTATTGTGGTCCTGCACCCTCAAAGGTCAATACTTCCATTTTGAGTGTCTGTCCATTGAATTATTTCACAAATTAAAATCAGGCAATTAAAACACCTCAGTAGTTTATTCCCTGTCACCAAACTGTCCTATGCCGGCATTGGATGCGGCTTTCAGTCCTCTTGCTGTTCACTGGGAGGGCCCAGTCCCGGCAGAGTCAGCTAATGGGTCCACTACAGCTGCTTGACTTGGGGGACGTCAAACACAGCGCTAATGGCTACCGCGACAAGCTATTTGTTTTAATAATAATTTGTGCTATATTATATTCAATTAATAGTTTTTAGGGCAAAGTTATTATTATTATTATATATTATTGTGTACTTTTTACTAGTTATTTTGTTTTCACAATACAAAATATCTTTTTAAAAAATTAAGTCAGTGTCACTAAAGTTACTTGATGAGTTAATTTTACTTAAAATGTACAATGTAATGAGTTTCAACAATTTTTTGAGTTAAATTAGTCTGACCTGTGGCCCTTTGCTATGTGTCATCCCCTCTTGCTCTCCCCCTTTCCTATCACTCTTCAACTGTCTATCGATTAAAGGGGAAAGAAGCTCCCCCAAAAAATATTTTAAAAAAAGGAATGAACAGGCATCTGATTGTGAATGGGGATTTATGTTTTCTGTTGTTCTGTGGGTTGCCACAGCTCCTTGAAACCCTTGACAGTTGAAGGAAACAAATATAAAGGCAATTAAAAGTGCTCGATTTTATATATTTTGTGCAAGACGCTCTATGGTCTATGATCAGGACTTAATGGTGAAATCTTACAATAATATACTTTATTGTCCTTCACAGGAAATTTGTCACCGCAGTTTGTACATGCATACATAGATACGAAGAACAGAGAAAAACACATATGGACACTGCGTCATAACAACAAGAGTAAACAATACGGTACATTTAACACATTTACCACACCCTGTCTTGTACACCAACTCACGGCTGTTAACGGGATGCATTGTTTAAAGATGCTATGGCAGAAGGTACAAAGCTCCTGCCATAGCGAGCATGTTTACAGGCCACCGTCCTGTATCTGCGTCGGGATGGCAGCAGTTCGAAGAAAGAGTTGAGGGGGTGACTAGGGTCGTGTGCTATACTGTGTGCTCTAAGTGATTTGGTATAAAAAAAAATCGACAATTGGAGATTTCCGTAAAGCCCGGGTTCACACATGGGCACCTTTTCTTCGGCGCCCTTGTTAACAGTCACACTGCCCACCTGAGTCTTGCATCTCAGCTACACCGATGCTTCACCAGAGAGCTGCTCGCAGTTCCCAGCAATAATGGACAGCGAAAAGGATTTGTTCAGTCATACGGACAATATACCACCAACATGTACACCTTTCACTACAGTTCCAGTGTCTGAATCTGTACAATGTGTCAGACATGGGAAACAATATGAATGTATGAACCCATCACCTCCTGTATGTGTTGGAGATCAATAGCTCTCTGTGGACAGAATCCCTTCACATGTTAACATTGCTTTGAAACCCCATTATTGTCAGTATACAATGTTTGAATGCCCAATGCTCTAGTTAGTGGTTGTACGTTGTTTCCCAAGGCTGTGATTACCCTAAAGGTCATGATAGGTCATTTTATACGATGAGCTAAAACGGTCTAACTACAGTAAAATAACAATGGGGACTGACATCATCACAAATTAAAACATTTGGGCTTATTGGATCCACAGGAGCCCCTGCTTTCCAGTCATATCCAATGCTTGCAGTTCCAATACAGTTGATGGACCCCAGTATGCAGTAACATTCAAATACACACTTATACTGCATTCAAAAACTGCATGGTTTATGCCCAAAACTGAATGTAATTGGCTTAAAGTGGGCATGTATATAAAGGTGAGACTTGTGGGTACCAATTCAGATATCTTAAAGTGAGAGGTCAAGTGACTCCTTTTGAAATTGGCCATGCAAGTTTTTCCCCTAACCAAAATAGATTTCTATTTTGAACCTTAATTTAAAAGAAAAGACACTGCATTTCATCTATTGCCTTTAGAGTAAATGACGTGTGTGTGTGTGTGTGTGTGTGTGCGTGTGTAGGTACAGCTCTCTGGATGGGATCAATGTAGAGCGCCTGCTGGCCCTCATCAACAAGTCGTTCGATAAGACTCTGAGGCAAGACTACATCGACTCTCTTAGAGGACGACTGCACTCCGTCTACCTCTCTGAAGGGTGCGTGCAGCTACTCCAGGAAAAAAATGACCACACATAAATCCAGATCAGCATTAGTGTTGCATCCGGTCTTCCTTACTAAAGAAAGGCCTGTGGGTGTAAGTATGTCAAATATATGTATCCAAACCCAGCAAGCCCTCTCTCCTGAGGGGATTGTGTGTCTCTGTGTCTCCAGCTACAGCGCGGCAGCCATCATCACCATGGAGCCGGTGAACAGCGGCACTCCCTACCTCGACAAGTTTGTGGTGAGCAGCAGTAAGCAGGGCCAGGGCACCAGCCACATCCTGTGGGAGTGTATCAGACAGGACCTGGGCAAACTGTTCTGGAGGTCCAGAGCCACCAACAGGATCAACCCCTGGTGAGACACGCACACACACATTTTAAGACTTTGATGTTGCCATCCAACGTGTATTCAAAACACATAGAAGGAAGAGTCTAGTGCTAGGAAGGGTTTTCCCGATGAAGCCTGAAAGGGTTTTTTAGCTTGTGGCAGAAGATACGCACTGTCTCGACGTCAGTGGGGAGCTCTACCACTGTGGAGCCAGAACAGAGAGGAGTCTTGACCCAGATAAGCCACCATAGGGTCCTCTGAGTGGTGGGACGGCCTGATATCTGCTAAATGTGTCGCGTTTTGACCGCAGCCAACTCGAGGCGATTAAATGTATATAATGAATACAGTTATTTACATACATACCTGTATACACCCAGGAATGAATTCTGCAGGTCATCTTTTGAATTTGCATCTGGCTGAATGTAAACAGCAGCAACAAGATGGTGATGATAATATGGTTGAATCTTCACATAAAACAAACCATGGGTCCATCCACTTGTGTTTGAGCACCAAGCGTCATTGATGGAAACAGTCTGGCTCCGGCTGGTTTTAACATCACTAAAAAGCCGTCAGTACAGCCTCACAAAGTCACTAGTGTGACTGTTTTCACTTTGCTCTGAAGAGAACAGTGATGGCTGAGAGGGTTAATCACTCACCTGCTTTTTGTTGCACGTTGCGATATTTTGTATTGTCAATAAAAACTCCTGGAAAAGGATTTCTTAAGAGTGGGAACCTTGACCTTAAAATAATCTTATGTTAACTGAAAATGAACAATACAATTTGACATGTGATCTTCCTCTCTGTCTGTCTGTCTGTCTGTCTGTCTGTCTAGGTACTTTAAGCACTGTGATGGCAGCTTCGTTAATGGGGTGTGGACCGTCTTCTGGTTCGGCCTGACAGACATCAGAGATTCCTACGAGCTGGTGGAGTACGCCAAGAACCTGCCCGACTCCTTCCACCCCTCGTCTCTCACCGCGTCCCAGAAGCCCCCCACACCCGCCGCAGGATCCTGAGCCACCTGCTGCTTGCGTAGCTCTCTAACTCCGGAGAATTGTTAGCGCTGTAGCTCTTTTAGCTCCGAGGCTATGGAGTTGATTGAGCTTTGGAAAATGTTTTCTCATTTTTGCTCTGACTGGACTTTTTTCTGTTCTCGATTTTTTTTTTTAAACTTGAAAACCAAAGTTACAGTAAGAACTTCATAGATGCAATATTTTGGAGAAGCTATAATCATTCTCCATTTGTTAAGCTGGGTTAGCTCTAAGCGTTGCAGAGCTGAAACTAAGGTGGCTTAATCTGTTGGGATGCACGATTTCTTTATTTAAATCAATAATTCCCTTCTTCTCATGGCTGATACTGATAATTTCACATATTTGTGTTTTAAAAATTAGTTCATAACTTGTAGTTTTTACACACCTGAGGGTAAGAAAGTCTTAAGTTATGTTGTGAGCAAAGATGGAGGATTTAATATTCCACAGCTCTGTTCCAACCAAATCTGACTGACATCCCTGTTGCTAATACAACAACAGTTCAGTTCATCAAATGTTCATTCATTTTTCTAGTAAAGTTAAGGCTAACAATTGTTTTGCATAAGAATTCAAGATGAATAATTAATACCATCATATCATTTATTGGCTGTAGTTTAATGATCCCTATAATTCATAATAAGAATTCCCTATTATCGGCACATCATTCATCTGTCCCGATAATTATCGTGCATCCCTATTCATTTGAAAAGGAAACTTTTCACCCTTACATTGCCTTACATTGTAATAGGGACCAGGAAAACCGAGTACTTTACAGTGTGCCTTCACAAACACAGCCAGGTGCTGTGTCGCCTCCAGAACTCTCCTTTGGCCAAAATATCTAAATGCGCAATACAGGTGTTATTAAAAGGACACTACACCGGTTTTCTTTACTTGAGGAGTTATTTAGCCTATAAAAACAGTTGTAAGATGTTTTCTGTGGCTCTGTAGTGAGCTTTTTTAAAGTTTGAGAAAATAACCCTGATGATGTCATCAGGGTTGTCAGCTTAAAAAACTCCAAACTGTTACAGGGAGCCTGCGTTTTGCCAGTTTCCTGCTGTTTTGGCAGGCAGAGGTTAGAATACACTTTATTTTTTTGGCAGCTGTTCAGAAAATGTAGCTCTCCTTACCCCGGTTCTTATGAGCTTCTTAAATGCCAAAGTTGTGTTTACTACTATCATTAAAGCACTTCAGACCAAGCACTCCACATCTCATGCTCCATCTCTGAATCAGATATTTCATCTTTCCTGACAGTCGCCGTTGGGATTATTAATGGTAAAATTCAAAGCAGATCACGTTAACCAAAGTTATACATGCAAAGGCATTATTGATGCCGAAACTAATAAATAGCTTGATAGAATTTACCTATACACACCAGTAGGCTGTAGGTAAAACATTAGTAAGCTATCTGGTTACTGGAAGAAAGGTACTGGAGTTATTTCCTCACATTACATAAAAAAGTGGTGCTATTTTCAGCATTCTGAATTTTAGCAGTGTATAATATTTCAAACGGACAGCTACAACCATGGATGACCCCGATATATCATCATAATTTCTGCTTTGCTGCTCTGGGTGTGGTAAAACAACGACCTCTGAGGTAGGAAGTTGTTTTTTTAATCCAAAGTTAACTGTCGGCACAATTCCGTGGAATGATTCTGAGATTCTGGATAGATATGGGCCCAGACACACATGAAAGCATTGATGTTGTCATCTGCACAGATAAGCTAATGGGGTGTTTTATCATTACTTTTTGCAATAGCATTAAAAATAATATTTCTTCAGTTCAGGCTATTTTTCGTGACGTTTGAGGCGTCTACTGCTGACCAGATTTCATTCAGCCGTTACAATGATCTGCTGGTCGGACGGTTGCAGTCGGGGCACGTTTATTTTTAACCTGTTGGTGGAGCCTTCAGATCAGCTGTGTTTACACGGGGCAGGTTGGGCTCATAACTGAAGGAGGATGGGCTCATAACTGAAGGAGGATGGGCTGGGATGAGTGGAAATGTGCTTTCATAGACCAACAAGAGTCATTTGGTATTTCTGTTTCTTTGCAAACCTGTTCTTCAGCAACTGTATCCCAACTGCAGAACAGGCAGTCATGTTACAACTGATGAGCTAAATAAACAATCCCCTAAAAACATATCCACATTACACCCCCTCCTTTGTGGAAGGGGAAGTAGCAAAGAAGGGGGGTTATTTGATTTGTATGCTCCAGTGTAATCTTATGACTGTTTGAATAAACATTGGAATAATAAACCTGAAAGCTTTACCTCAACCAGAACTGGTTTTTCAAAAGCAGTGGTGTAACTGAGTATGTGTCTGTTACTTCCTTAAACAATGTGGTCCACTGAGGACAGCTTGAATATGCTTCATCATGTATACAAGGAACCTACACTTGCACTTTAGTTGGTTTTTATGTTCCATCCCCAACCTGCTCAATAATGGCAGTGTGACATGTTTCCTCCTCATTCCTCAAGTCTTGTGGTCCTGCACCCTCAAAGGTCAATACTTCCATTTTGAGTGTCTGTCCATTGAATTATTTCACAAATTAAAATCAGGCAATTAAAACACCTCAGTAGTTTATTCCCTGTCACCAAACTGTCCTATGCCGGCATTGGATGCGGCTTTCAGTCCTCTTGCTGTTCACTGGGAGGGCCCAGTCCCGGCAGAGTCAGCTAATGGGTCCACTACAGCTGCTTGACTTGGGGGACGTCAAACACAGCGCTAATGGCTACTGCGACAAGCTATTTGTTTTAATAATAATTTTTATGCTATATTATATTCAATTAATAGTTTTTAGGGCAAAGTTATTGTTATTGTTATTATTATTATTATTATTATTATTATTATTATTAATTTTACTTAAAATGTACAATGTAATGAGTTTCAACAATTTTTTGAGTTAAATTAGTCTGACCTGTGGCCCTTTGCTATGTGTCATCCCCTCTTGCTCTCCCCCCTTTCCTATCACTCTTCAACTGTCTATCGATTAAAGGGGAAAGAAGCTCCCCCAAAAAATATTTTAAAAAAGGAATGAACAGGCATCTGATTGTGAATGGGGATTTATGTTTTCTGTTGTTCTGTGGGTTGCCACAGCTCCCTGAAACCCTTGACAGTTGAGGGAAACAAATATAAAGGCAATTAAAAGTGCTCGATTTTATATATTTTGTGCAAGACGCTCTATGGTCTATGATCAGGACTTAATGGTGAAATCTTACAATAATATACATTATTGTCCTTCACAGGAAATTTGTCACCGCAGTCTGTACATGCATACATAGATACGAAGAACAGAGAAAAACACATATGGACACTGCGTCATAACAACAGGAGTAAACAATACGGTACATTTAGCACATTTACCACACCCTGCCTTGTACACCAACTCACGGCTGTTAATGGGATGCTTTGTTTAAAGATGCTATGGCAGAAGGTACAAAGCTCCCCCTTTTTTAGTTTTGTTTCAGATTTAACCATTTCCCTTCACTTCATGATTAATTTGCCAGACTGTATATTGCTCACAGATCCATTTTTTGATTGACAAGAGACACCTTGCAACCTGCAGCTCTGGGTTATAGCTGCTTTAAAATTGAGCAACTATAAGCAATAAAAGTGTGTGTGTCTCTTCACAGATGGCTGTGTTTCAGAAACCATCACTTCAGTTAGCAGCTGTTGTGTGTGTGATCCTTGTGCTTACTTGCTATTTTATAATATTCTATAACTGTCCTGGAGAGCTACTCAAAGAGGAGGTTCCCAGTACACAAGAACTGAGGTAAAGTCCACTCTGTGTCTGTGTGTGGGGGTCGGGGGTTGCTTTGAAAACGTTTAATTTCCTCTGTTTCCATTTTAAACAGCCAGTGTTCTGCCTGAATCAGTGTTTATTAGAATGATATTTTTATTTTGATTTAAATGCTAAAAAAGAGACTTAAATTCAAAGTGCTCCTGCAGCATACTCTCAGCAAATCAAACATTTTCATATATATTTTATCATAAGAGTCATGAAATGCTAAAAAGCAGTAATAAGTAAAATGGTGTGAATGAATGATGACATTATAGTAACATTTGTAGGATGGCTGTGGCTCCTTTTTCAGCTGCCTTTATAAAAGCTGTGGGTCACATGACATATAGGGCTCCATGGAAACTGCAATGTGTTTGGGTGGGAACCAGGCAGTCATGGCCCTGGGATAAAATTTCAAATATTAGCAGTTGTGTTTTGTTTGTCTTGACTATGCATCGATTCATCTATAGATATGCAAACTAAACTTACTCTACTTCAACCCGCTCTGTCTCTTCTTCTCCAAACCAAATCTGATTTGTTTGAAACTACAGTATAACATGAATAAACCAATGAAACAGACCATAATAGGGCTACAATTCAATTCAATTTTATTTGTATAGCGCCAATTCATAACAGAAGTTATCTCAGGACACTTTTCAAATAGAGTAGGTCTAGACCGAACTCTTTAAAACATTACATTACTACTACTTATCATGTATTTGTGGAATGGTAAGAACACATCAGCTCATCAGTAGAATATGAACAGTCTGAGCTATTATTCTGCTCGAGCCCTCAAGCAATGTTGGACAATGTCAGCGATAATATGGCAAAGAAGAGAACAGATATATTATCCTCCACACTTCCAGGTTGGGACCACTCACTACTCCTCCCTCACCTGGTCCGTGCACCTGTGCCCCCGGCTCAGTGCTCCTCAAAGATTGCGTTCCTAAGGACCAGTATGAAGAGCTGGTGAAGCGCAGAGCTAAGGAGTTCCAACAGCAGAAAGCCAGGTAGTGGGTGGATGGATGGATGGATGAATGGATGGAGTGCTTTCATTTAATTAGCTACTCTCAACCTGCCTTTATTTGGGACATGTCTTTAATTCCTTTTGCACGAAACTCTTGCTCAGCCAAGATGGGAATTATTATCTAATTGTTTATTAAGACCAGTATGAATGTTCGACTCATCATTTGATACTTTGGTGTTCGTGGTGTCTGTAAAATGAACTGAAGGTTCTAATTGTGGAGAATCTAACGATGTATAGCATGTCCATATTAATAAAATAATAATTCTTATAATAATAGGAATAATTCTTCAGTAGCACCTTACATTACAACTTTGTAAAAAACAAGATGTAGTAGGAAAATGCATTCAGAAATAAGGTTCTGCAAACATGAAGCAAACTATATTATGGTGTGCTATATCATGTTTAATTTTACAGGCTTACAGTATAATATTTTATGTTCATGTATGTTCGTCCTCATGTATTCACATTCTCGTTGTCTCACACTAGTTAGGAGAGTTGTTAATCAGTGTGCCATGAGCTAAGCACATTCCAAAGACCTAGGCTGTCTCCTGGAGAGTAGGGCATCAGATGTGTTATGACTACTGTTTATCAGACATGAGACGTCAATAGACACCCATGGGAAAGAGGCATATACAGTAATAGAGTGATTTTCTTTGTTCTAGTTAGTTGATTCTCGAGACAACTCGGTTTGCTTGTATCCTGTGTTGATGCAAATAAATCTTGCACGTGAAGCGAAACAGTCAATTCTCTTTGCTTCCTGTGAGTCTGCGTCACCATTCTGGGTACCTTCAGTGGGAGTTTGTGATCTCTAACTATAGTCAGATAGCTAAAGGTTTATGTCAGATAGATGTTGATTGAGGTGCATTGAGACAAGAAAAATTAAACCACAACAAAGACAATGTAGCAACAAGCTGATCCTGGGGTATCCATGGTAATTAAAGATACTAACTGCCTCTGTAAATGTTGGTAACATTGTTGTTTATTTTCTGTAATAGGGTAATAATGAGGCAACATGTAGAGGCTGGGGGAAACCAGGCAGGTGGTAGAAGAAGAAACAATGAATTGGTAGAATATACAACATGCTGTGATAAAATAAAGATCATCACTTTAAAGAAGCCAACACAAACTGAAAATCTGCAGTCAATCCAATACTGACTGATGACAAGAATTTTATTCTTATTGTTGTTTTCAGTTTGCAGCTTATCCATGTATTTTTCAGAATGTTGAAAAAATTAGATATCTTTTGGGATGGCAGATTATATTCTCCCTCATGTATAAGAAGCTCATTTTGAAACACTGCACAAAAACAGAGGCCCCTACTTTACAGATATGGAAAGAAATTATATTATTTGAACACAGAAAAGACATCGTCTGAGAATAGAGTTTGTGTGTGTTTCAATGCCAGCATGTTAGATTCTGCAGGTGGTTGTGGATTGTGCAACACTCTGATGATGCATCTGATTACAATGGTTCCACTCACAACTGGTGGAAATACAGGCTGACTAGATGGCGTGAGATACTTTGGTTGAAAAGGGGCCAAAGAGTATTACTATATTAGCAGTTTGTTTTATGTAAATCTCCTGCATCACACAATGCAAGTTTGTTTTCCCCCTCACCACCAACATCCCTCACTCTTTCCAATCTCCTCAACAGGTCACCATCTGAATTATCCAAACTGCTATTTGCTTTGCCTAACTCTCCTCTGCAGTATCCCACCCAGGGTTTTACTGTACGACCTTTGACCCCCACTCTCATACCAGGTATGTTATGTTATACTCTATACATAGTCCAGAGAGCATTTTTATCTATTTGAAGTTTTTACATTACAATACAAAATGACACAACAAGTTGAAGCAGTTTGGGTTCATCTTAATCGTAGAAAACACAATGAAAAATAATCACAGAATCTTTGAGCTAAACCTGGTACACAGAAATGTATCACCACAAACAGAACTAAATCATAGTCAGTAGTGATTTAATCAAGTCTTGAATTTAACATGTCTGGAATATCAGGTAAAATAATCTCATAATGTTGTTTCACAAAGCCTGAGATAGATGTGTGTCCGTCATTAAAAAGGATAGTATCTTTTGGTTCCAGGTTTAGCACTGCATGCAGGACACAGAAGCAGCTACAAGGTTGGTTTGATCCCATAGATGGATGCAACAGATCAGCAACCAACAGATTGGGTGGTTGATACCAAATGGCTGCTGAATGTTTGAAAATTCATAGAAAAAATAAAAATAAAAAAAACCTTACATATTCAAGATTTTACATATAAACACATTGAACACAGTATGGTATTACATTATATAGCGTTTAATGAAAATGATACATTTGCTGAAACACCCAGAAAACCATACTGTATAATAATGAAGATAAAGTTTTGTCTATTGAAATAACTTAATTAGAGCATGATTAAGTGGCTTTGTGCCAATATTACTACGGTGGATACCGTTCCAAAACATCATT